TGGAGAATCAGAAGCAGCAGCATCAGCAAACCATCCTCTCTCACAAACAACAATGATGATGCATCTGTTCGAAGCAAAAGCCGGATGTACCAGAGTTTGGATCAGGTAAGGAGACTTATCCTGCAACCATTGGCTCCTCTAAAAATGTTTAATGATGTTTTATGTAAGTTTAAAGGGATAAAAATGTTGAGGATACACTAGGAGTCAGATATCTATGACTATTAGTTTTACTTTCCCTTGGATCTTAGCAGCCTGTTATAATTCTTGTGGAATCTTATTTGTCTGCAGATGTCAAGTATCCGTTCCTCAAGCAGGCCAGTCAAGTGCTGAGCAATATACCTGCTCCTCCTGCATTTGCTTGTGAGTTCCCAACAAAAGATGCTGCTCTTCGGCTAAATACTGCTGCAGAATCTTCTGGTTCTGTTCATGTTACTGCCGGTATGATCAGAATAACAAATATGACTCTAGCCGGCAATCAGATGGCTTGGTCATTTAACAAGAATGGGGATATCAACATCGTTTTTTCTCTCGGCCTGTCTCAAGAAAATGCTGGGTTGGTGCCAATGGCTAATGTTCTGTCTGACAAGCCAGGATCCATCGGATCAAGGGGCCTGTTATTCTTAATGTTTTTCTGGGTTCTAATACTCTCTGTAAGTTTTAAGGTTGGGACCTGTGTTTACTCCAGGTAATGTAGTAGGATCAATTAATGAGGTTCACGAAAATGAGCCGAATAAGGAAAAATCGAAAGAAGAAAACATTGACAGGGGGCTGTTTGGGGGGTAGACCCTAATAGGATTGACTGGCGGGGGATGCTGCTGCAATTTGTTGTTTATTTTGGTTTTTGTTTATGCTGACTCTACCCAACTGATATCTGGTATCTTATACCTTTATTTTTGTTGTAATCTTTACAAATAGTGTATCAGGATGCTAGTTAAAATTCTCTTTGGCAGCTTCTTATATATGTAGAGTATACGTTGAAGTTATTGTACTTGGAAACATTTTTGTTGGTTACCCATTTGTTCATTTATTCAGCCCAACTTCTGTGGATGAAGATAATTTTGTATTCTTTGCATAAACGCCGCATGTATAATGGTATTTACTAAGGTTTTGTTTGGATAAATTTTAGTGATGATTAATTAATGTATAGTACTGACAGTAATTGAATGACAATAATATAGAATTGTAATAGCGAAACTTTTTAACGTTTGAATGATGGTATATTAATGTATGTCAATGATATATTTTTGTTTGGATAATAAAATGAAATAGTTATATTTTTAGTTAAATTACGAATTTACTGTTTATATATTATATGTAATAATCAATTTTTATAAAAAAGAAAAAAAATTATTCATTAATATAATTATATTTATATTTAAATAAATAATTATTATATATAATTAAATTAAAATTTTATATTTAATAAAATAAATAATAATTATTTATATTATTACATTAATTTAATTAATTTTTAATTATTAAGACATATATAAAATTAATTAAATTAGACGTGAGTATAATAAAAAATAAATAGAATGACCAAAAAAATTACTGATTTGCTAGTTTAAAAATTTATTTTAAAATTTATTAGTTAAATATTATCTGTTATCATTAAAAAATAAAATAAATATAATTTTTTTATGTTCGTAAAATATTATACGTTAAAATTTTATGGTTCAAACAAATGGTAAAAATATGATTGACTATTTTTCTAACAATTTTATATACCCATGATTTTTAATTTATTAATATATTAATAAAATTAAATAAAAGTTTAATTAATATTTTTAATATTAAGAGAAAAAATTATGTAAATAGTATTTTATCTCTCTTGATAATAATATTTTTATACATTATTATTTTAATTTTATTACTAATAAAATAACATATCTAGTAGTGTAATAAATATAATTCATATTGTTGTTATTTACAAACATATAATTCACAAATCATACAAATTATAATAATTTCTAAAAAAAAATAAAAATAAAAATAACGTATATATTTTCATCCAAACCTGAGGAAGAGCCAACAAACAGTACGCAACAAAATCTTTGCCGAGGAAGAGAAAACGGTACAGTTGAAGTCGACGACTTCGAGCTTCAAGGCTCACTTTGTCGGTCACGTAAATCTCGTCTGTGGTTTTCAGATCTCTACTTTGGTGTTCGATTCTTCGTTTCTGTTCGGAGAATCAACACCTTTTGCTCTCTCTCTACATTATCTGCTTAGATCCAAATCTCAGGCTTCCTCACAATTCTCGATCTCCTCTTCATCAACGGCCCTGATTTTCCCGCATTTTTCAGTGCCGTTCAGTTCAGGTGCGTGTGAATCTGAATTTTCCCTTCAATCTTCATCAGGTTATCAAACTCAAGTCTTATTTCAATGTTTCTCGGCGTAAACTGATATCAAGCTTTGATCAGTTGGCATGTTAATTGATTTAATATCTGAGAAAGTGGAACCTGAGGATGTTATCTGTATTTTGTGTTTTTCTTTATATTTTCGAAAAAATAGGAACTACGTGTTGGTTTTATTTCTCCTTTGTTCTCAGCAAACAACCAGATAGCAGTAACGTGAGAATGGGATTGATTTGGAAGTTCGTTGCAAAGGGAGTGATTTCAGATGTGTCCCTTACCAGTGAATACTATGACATGTCACACTATAAAGTGCAATGTGAGATTAGAAATGTGCCAATTCAATGTTAAAACAGAAGTGCAATAAGCTATTGAAGAACAATAGAGATAGATCTTTGTATAGTTATTGAATTCCAATTTGAGATCTCATATGAATGATAGAATACTATGTACGGCTTTGCCTTGTGTTTTTCTGTATTCTCATTTAGTCACCTTTGTATATGCTGTTGTCACTGATGTTATGGAGTGAACTATTTAAAAACAAGTTGAGTACATTTTGATAAACTATCTAGCATCTACAGATGCAGTCATGTATGCTAAATATACCACACGGTTCAGTGAGCAAAGACTCTTTCCCAGCTAATTGGATTTGGTAACATTTGGTATAAGTTGTGATCAGCTAAGGCACTTTATTTATTTTATTTTTCTCAGTGAACTGGATTTTTTTTTTCTTGGCCTTCTCTTATTATTTTTTGCCCTCTTGTTGCTACTTAGTTTATTCTGTCCTCAATTTCAGATGTGTTTAGCTATGTGACTATCTATGAGTTCATTTGCTTGCATTTGAGTTCTGATGAAATTGCAATTATTTCTAATAAATAGTGTCTTTTACAGCTTCTTTTGCAATTGGCAAAAATGTTCAACCTTTCACTAGAACCATCTTCTGCATGTGAGACTTTTTGATGCATCTTGAAGAACCCTGTCCCTGTGTTTGATAACTATGGTCGCACTTTGTAGTAGTAACAAGAATGTAAATCAAATATGCACTGTAAATTTTAACAGAATGTGGTTTCCTCTCTCAATCTTTTCACATTAGCTTCCTTCTGTTTCACTTAAATTTTCTGAACTTTCAAGTACATGGTTGCAGTTATATGACTGTATCTTCCTTATGAATGACCCTTTGTACTGTAAGCAAAGTTAATTACGTAGATAGCTAAAATTGACTCTAAAGTAATGGACAGCTTGATGGTATGGGGGTAGAGGAGACTAAGAAAGATATGGATATCAGCAATTGGTATTTAGAGCTGGCTTATGATGAGTGGGTATCACTCCCTGTTCCTGGTTCACGACCTTCGGCTCGCTACAAGGTACTCCTTTTTTTAGTGAACGACTCAGGTTTGATGAAGTAAAGATTTGTTGTTTGTTCCGTGCTCCACAGCATAGTACCTATAATTTTGAGCACTGTACCTTTTTCTTAAATCCCTTTTGTGGCTTTGCGCCATGTCTCTTACCCATAATTTTAAGCATTGATTGAGGTTTATTTTCATTGACAATTTTTCAGTGGACCTTTTCCTTATTACTCATAATTCTTGAGCCAGGTGTACACTGTCATCTGTCAATGATTCTTTTCTTTTTGCCATAGCATGCAGCAACTGTGGTTGATGAGAAACTATACATTGCTGGAGGGAGTCGAAATGGGCGGTACCTTTCTGATGTTCAGGTATTACCATATTGGATGTGCCATTAGTTGGTACCATATCCCTTTCTTGGACTATGTGTTAATTGGCAGTTTTTGCAGGTGTTGGACCTTAGAACTCTGGAATGGTCTAGTCTAAAGTTGACAACTGAGTTAAATGCTGGCAAATCTGAAGATGGTGGCTCACAAGAAGTTCTTCCGGCCATCTCAGATCACAGAATGGTAATTTTGTGAATGTGGAAGACATGCACAGGCAGTCTGTCTTTCTTCTGTTTGTTTAGTGATTTGATCTTGTTACACCTGACACTTGTGTCTCATATATTCTTTGGCAGATTAAGTCAGGAAACAAACTCCTCCTCATTGGTGGGCACTCAAAGAAATCTTCAGATAGCATGATAGGTCTGTAATTTTGTCAGTTTATCCAGCATCCTTTTGAAATCATTTATAGTGAATATTAGTATGGTATGCTCTTCTAAATCTAATGCTGTGACAAAAATCATATTGTAGTTCGGTTCATCGACCTAGAAACTCATGTCTCTGGTATCATAGAGGCCTCAGGAAAAGTTCCGGTAACTAAGCAGCTTTCCAGATATTTTTCTGTGCTACATCTACTTTTTGTTTTTAATTTGTTATTTACTTTTATTTATGTGGAATAAGTATTTATGTGGAGTAAATGTCTGTTCTTTCATATTTGAATCATTAATGGAAGGTTCTATTACAGACAGCTCGTGGTGGACATTCTGTGACACTGGTTGGTTCTAGACTGATTTTGTTTGGTGGAGAAGACAGGAGCAGGAGGTTGCTGAATGATGTACATGTTCTTGATCTTGAAACAATGACCTGGGATGTTATGGAGACAACGTGAGAGCCTGTTCTTCTTTTCTAGCCAAGTATTTTTATCATTTTTCGGTGTTCTTTATCATCTTCTTTTGTTTTAATAGGCAGACATCTCCAGCTCCCAGATTTGATCACACCGCTACAGTGCATTCAGAGCATTACCTTTTGATTTTTGGTGGTTGTTCTCATTCAATCTTCTTCAATGACCTTCATGTGCTTGATCTGCAGACTGTGAGCTTACTTTAACTTTTCTCCCCTTAGATTCAATGAAGTTTAGCTTGTCATCTCAAAGTACCATGTTTCTGTGTCAGGAATTAAAGTATGTCAATTGAAAGTCCGCATTCTTCAGTCTTATTAATTTAAGCATGTTGCTTGAAAGTCACCATGCCTCAATTTCTATATTAAGTGCATCACTGCATGTAATTATACTTTTCCTTGATATTTAATATCTTGGGTACATGTAAACTGTGGAACTTCTCTTTAATTCTCACTTTGGCCTGATAACATTTCTCAATCGCAGATGGAGTGGTCCCAACCGCAAATTCAGGGTGATGCTGTGACTCCTAGAGCAGGACATGCTGGAATAACTATTGATGAAAATTGGTATATTGTTGGTGGTGGAGATAACAGCAGTGGTAAATATTGGATAGCATCATGTAGTTGTCCTTTTTTATTCATGCACTGGTTTTTGTACTTACTTTTCTTTTGCAGGTTGCCGAGAAACCCTTATGTTAAATATGTCTAAGCTAGTTTTTACGACGGTAACCAGGTTAAAGGGAAGGCATTTCCTTGCTAGTGAGGTTGATCCTTTCTTCCTTTTGCTTGATTTTTTCCTTTTTTTTCCCTTCTTTCATAGCCTCCAACCATGTTTTAGTCAACCAGATTTTGGTTTATAGCTTCATTGTAAAATCTATGTCAATATCTACCAGTAAATTTCTAGGTTCCATAATCCAATTGGTTGTATTAGAGCTTTTGTTTGAGACATAAATGAATTTATCATTCATTCTGCGCTTAATTTGTAAATGTAAATTTAAATACAGGGGCTCAGTGTTTCCTCAGCAATGGTTTGTGGAGAGAAGATTTTGGTTGCTTTTGGTGGCTATAATGGGAAATACAATAATGAGGTAAGCTTTATTATAAGGTATCTGTGCTGATGATGTGTTGAACTTGCCGGAACAAAACACTGTACCATCTTCTTTCAATTGTTTATTGGAGTTGTTATCATGCTACTTATTTTTGTCCAGATGGAGAAGATATTGATACTTAATATATTTTATCCAATCTTCTTTTTCCTTATAAAAGAACCATGCAACTTATTCTATTATCTGTTTTTCTTTTTGTCCCTGCTCCTATTTTTAGGTTTTTGTTATGAGACTTAAACCAAGGGACTCAGCACGACCAAAGATTTTCCAGTCACCTGCAGCAGCAGCAGCAGCAGCTTCAGTTGCTGCTGCATATGCCTTGGCCAAATCTGAAAAGTTAGATTTCTCCCAACCTTTAGCTTTGAACTTGAAGGAAGATGCTTTGTTGAAACAAGATCTTACAAATGAAATTGATGCAATTAAAGAAGAGAAGAAGGTGGTGGAATTGTCACTCGCAGAAGCGCAAGCAGAAAACTCTAGAATCAGGGAAAAGATTAATGAAGTGAACAGTACTCATTCTGAATTATCTAAAGTATGTTCTAGATGAAAAACTGCTTATATAGTTGATTGTTGCATTTGGTATGGTAACTGTTCTTAGTAATAATTTCCATGCAGGAACTCCAGTCTGTCCAAGGTCAACTAGTAGCTGAGAGATCGAGATGCTTTAAACTCGAGGTTCCTGTTTCACATGTTGCTCTTATTTGCTTTTATTTTGGCTTCACAAGTTCACTGGGGAAACTCGGATTTAGTGTGTGTTCTGCAGGACATAATTTGGTAAATTGCTAAGTGTATGCATAATGTTAATCTGTAGGCACAAATTGCTGAACTACAGAAGATTCTGGAATCGTTGCCGTCTATTGAGAATGAGGTGCAAATACTTAGGACACAGAAGTCTGCATTGGAACAGGAAATCGAGCTTACATCTGCCCAGAGACAAGGTTCTGGTGGTGTTTGGCGGTGGATAGCTGGAGGCAATCCATAGAACTTGCAAAGCTTTTTGTTTAGAATTTCAAAGTAATCCACCATTGCAGCTTGCCCCAGGAACTTATGATCTTTACATCAGATATCACGATATGTCCAGAACAAAGTATGGTACTATTTTGTACCTGGTGGGCAGCATGCATTGGAGCTCATGTCGTAGAAATTTCTTGAGACAAGTTGGAACTTGGTGGTTGATAGTCTACAGTGGATTTGTTTACTAGTTTGCTTGGATGATTTACTTCTTTTTTCCTTGTAATTGGTCATCATTAAATTATTTGCTTGCATTCTTTGCGAGTTCTGTTAGTCCTGAACTGTTTCCTGTTAATGCACATTTGTCTTATGTTGTGTAAATTAATTCATTTAAGAACAAACCAGAGGTTGACTTTTCTTTAATATAATTGATTTTATTGATCTAACATTAGAATTGATATACATTGCATTTTCTTTTAGTTCCTGGCTTTTCTTTCTTTTCCCATTTTGGCTGGTAAATAGATTCCACAAGACTGCCAATGCACCAAGCAATTCAACTGCTTCATTCGGCTCACAGAAATCCAAGGTCAGAGGAACTTCTTCTCTTTTTTGAAGCAAGGTCAGAAATACTCACTGAAGCCTCGAGAAGTTGTCCTCTTTTGCAAAAACACTTTTTGATAGATTCCTTCATGAATCACAATATTTTAAAATGAGTCATTCAAGAGGCCATCATTTTGTCATTAGTCAAGGTGATATGTTAATAAGAGATAGGAAACTTTACCCATTTTACTCTGAGTCAGATTTGGCACATTGCTGGACTGATAATTAGATAGAGAACCTGTAGTTGAGTATAGAGCTTGGGAGAAGCACTTAACTTGCAACCTAAGCGTGGCTTGCATTTTTCAAAATTGAAATGGCTATTATCTTTCTATATTGAACTGTTATGATCAATATCAAATGGCTATTCACTTAGCTAGATTGAACCATTGTGACTTTGGTAATGTTTGTTTACTGAACTTCACTAGCTAGGCAAGGTACAAGTTACCATAACATCATTGAGTCTGTTGTTTGGTAGCATAAAGTTTTGGTATAGGATAAATATGTATTAGTAACTGTAGAAAAAAGTTTGTGACTTAGTTGAACTTTGGGAACTTACATATGTCAAACTCATGTTTATTTATTGCCAAGAAAAATTCAAATCTCTACTTAGATTACAATCAATAATTGCCTTCCAGAACTTCTTCTCTTTCAAACATTTCCCATCCAGAATTTCATTTACTCAATGCAATAGACATTTTTGACGTACGATTTAATTCTTCTTGTATTATTGCTCTTCATCGAGATCTCACAGTAGGTAAAAATAGAATAGAGATTTGTTATAATTTGGACATAACTTGTCGTTTTTGTGGAATTAGCTCCTTTCTCAAGATTTTGCCTGCGGCTGACTTTGGAATCTCACTGATAAACTCAACTTTTCTCACTTTTTTGTAAGGTGCTACCTGCAGCAGTTTTGAAATATTCAAACTCAATAATCAATGATATCATCATAAGGAGTAATGAGTCACTGAAGACAAGAGAGAAAGGCTAAAGCACTAACTTTCCCTGCCACAAATTGGATGACTTGGTCTTCTCTTAGTTCACTGCTCGCTGTTCTTACCACATATGCCATAGGTATTTGACCTGCTTCTTCATCTTCCACCCTGAAAATATCCAAGCACTTTAAACATATCTATACGCATGTATGTAGATACACAACGCGCACAAACACATATAAATAGAGAGAGAGAAAGAGAAATAGGAAGACAATTTACGGAATAACGGCAGCATCAAGAATCTGAGGATGACTTAGAAGTATTGCTTCTAGTTCTGCAGGGGCCACCTGCATGATATTTGAGTAACTGATTTAAGAAGTTCTTGTATTTGGTTGGTAATATAAGCAGTCTGGGGTGCACAAACAAGGTGATTATGGTGGGGAAATCACAGATTAAGAAAATACCTGATACCCATTGTGCTTTATGAGTTCTTTTATGCGATCAACAATGTAAACAAACCCATCCTCATCAAAATAACCAAGATCCCCAGTTCTAAGCCAACCATCATTGTCAATTGTTGCAGTTGTTGCTTCCTCATTTCCCAAGTATCCTTTCATGACAGTAGGACTCTTAAGCCACAATTCTCCTTTTTTATAGGGTGGCAAAGCTAATCCTGTTTCTGTATCTATCACCTTGGCACAAAAACTTGGCAACAACATCCCACAGGAACCTTTATGCAACTTTGCCTGATCCATTCTCAGTGCAAAAGTTGCCACACCGCAGATTTCAGTAAGCCCGTAGCCCTGCCGGAGCTCCACCCAAGGGAACTTTTCTATGAAGGCATTGGCCAGTTCCTTGCTCAAGGGGGCAGCGCCTGATATGATCCTCCTCAGTGAAGACAACTCTTCACGGGCGTCGCTGGAGTACTTAACCAAAGCTAGTATCACCGGAGGCACCATTGGTATGTGGTTTACATGGTAAGTCTTGATTGCATCAAGCATTGCTTGCAAGTCAAATTTCTGCATGATTACTGAAGTGATACCAATACAGAATAGTCCCACCACGAAGAACATTACTCCGTACATGTGAAACATAGGAAGAAAGCATAGAAACACATCGTTTTGAGATGATGTTTTATACACAGACCATTTTAGAATAGTTAAAATTGCTATGAAATTCTCGTGTGTTAACAAAACACCTTTGCTAATACCAGTAGTACCAGATGAATACAGAATTGCTGCAGTTTCAGACTGGTACAACTCCATTTTTGGCAACTCTTGTGGGTCACAACATTCAATTAACTCTTCTATAGATAGTAATTCACTGTTCGATTGGCGAGATACATCGATTATTGGCACCTGAGTCTGTGTGAATTTATGTAACTCTTCTGAAACTGAAATGATGAGCTTAGCACCTGAGTCACAAACTTGTTTTGTGATTTCTGAGGAAGTATTCAGAGGGTTTGCAGGTGTCAGAATGGCGCCGAGTGAAAGTATGGCGAGACCGATAATTGGGTACGTGAGAGAGTTTGGTGCCAAGACAAACACAACATCCCCTTTACGGATACCAACTGCATGGTAGAGTCCAGAGGCTAATGCCCTTATTGATCTTTCGAGTTGTGAATAAGTGATTTTCTGATTGGTGGCAGCATCAATAAGAGCAACTTGTCGATGAGCTTGATGTTGTTGTGGAAAATGTGCTAGCACGAATGAGGCAGTGTCAAGATCAGCTCTTGTGGGGATGCTATGATCGCCAAGAAGTTGAAACAATGAATGGTAAACTCCGGTACCGGAATCAAAGCCGCGCTTCTCATGTTTAGCCCAGTTCTTACCGGATTCTTCTTTGGTATTCCCCATCTCTTTAACTGATATTTTTGCCAATATTAACTAGAAGGTGTGAGTTGAAAGGTTGAATCTTGCATTGCATATATAACATATATAAGTTTTGTTGTTTTATATCATATTTTTGTCGATAAAAACTATAATTATTGATATGATTAGGATTGGCAGCCGGCTTGAGCGATGTGACCAAGTAAATGATATCCAGCAATTAGGAGATTTCTTGCTAATAATAAAAACTCAAGGCTGGTATGCTTGCTGCTGTCCATTTACTGAGTAAGCATTTTAGATTGAATAGATTAATCAAAGATCATCCTCATTTTAGCCTGATTACTGTCTCTTGACTGTAATGAACAGAAAACCCAGATAAACCCAGTTCATAGATTAGGCTGGACAAGCTACCCCAACATGTGAAAACACACTATTAGTTTCCTAAAATGAAAATTAAATATGATAATTTATTAGTTAATATTACATAAAGTCGAAATTAAATATGAAAGTAAATAAAAAAAAAAAGACCCAGTTCTTTCTTGACATGAAATTTCGAATAATTGCCTCTATAAATTAACTACCAAACAAATGCAATATGGCCGAATTACAATTATTCAACTCTCGTGTGATCTTTTATTAGATATTTTTAAATAATTCATAAAATAATTTTCAAAAATAAGATTATAAATATATATTTCATTTCTAAAATATAATTTACAATAATTGAAACTCTGATAATTAAAATAATAAATAATTTTTTTTGACAATTTGATTGAATCTGATTTTCCTTTTCAATCACCCACTAAATTCTTATCACTATTTTAAAGATCTTTGTTATTTTATATTCACCACACACCAATATCACAGGAGGTATGATGGGTACTTTTATCTCTCAAGTATCATAATTGATGTGTGCCCTCTTGTTTTCTGGCTGTGATTGAATCCTCCGAACACCCTTTCTCCCAGAAGGAAAAAATTGAACTTTCCCTTTCAAGACTAAGTTAAGAAGAAAAGACTAGGACACTTTAGAATTAAGTGCTTAAAAACAAGAGAGTTTGAAGTAGAAGCAAATCTCACATGTGAGAAAAGGAAAGTCAAATGATTAATTAGGACCATATATATATATATGTGGAGGAAATGGATGATTGTCAATTTAGAATTTCCTATGGTAAAAACCTGACTCAGCCCCCTGGAAAAAACCTTGAACCGTGACAGGAAAAAACCACACAAGAAGGAGGAGAAGAATAAAAAGAGGGATGTGGATTAGATCGTGTTGACAAGTGTCATTTGCATGGCCATATACTAATATTTCAAATCCATCCCTTTGTATCCTCCTTCCTTCTTCCCATCTCTCCTTCCCTCCTTCCTTCCTCCTCTATTAACCCATCCTTACTCTCTAAAACCCTTTTCTCTTCTGTAAATTTTATAAGCAAACAACGCTATTTTTCTTCTTTCATAAAACTCTATCTTCAAGCTTTTCTCTGTTACTATGGCGGTAGCAGAGCTATCACCTGCTTATACAAAAACCACCCGTTTGCACACTTCCCAGCTCGCTCTTTCCCCCACCCGTTTCTCAGACTGCTGCCGTCGACAGTTCCGGCTCATACCCAGAACCCAAAATGTCAGAATCTCCTGCTCTGTTGCACCAAAGTAAGTTCTTCCGTTAAATCTTAACTTCTTACCAAATTATTCCTATTACTTCTTCTGTAATACATGGTTTGTTGTTCTGCTTTCCTCATTTTCTGTTTGTTGTTTTCACTCCTTAGTGAAGTTCAAGTTCCTGTTGCCATTCCAGCAGAAGGCCCTAAGAGCAAAAGTGAGTGCTTTGGTGTGTTCTGCCTCACTTATGACCTCAAGGCTGTGAGTACATGATCAAACTCTTAACTCCATATCTACTTACTTCATTTATATATCTATATGCAAGTGTGAGCTATGATTCTTGGGTTTCATTGTCTTGAATTTCTAAATTGAGTTGTTTCATGGGTGGAAGGAATCAGTCTTGGGTTTTGAAAGATAAATGGTTTTCTCAGAGAGTTTTTAGTAGTTATGAAGTTCTTCAATGACTTGGGCGAGTTCTTTCCTCTCAAATTCCATATGGGTCTAGCCAATAATTTTATTTTGGATCCACATAGATTGAGAGAGTGGAAGTATACAGACGGTTCATTGAGTAAATTAAGGCTGAGAAATGGGTAGTAGCATAAGTGCACTGGTGTTGTTTGAATTAAATTCAAGCAAAGTTTCTTTCTTCGCTTACTATGATCGTGATTTCTTCTTCCCCTAGACAATTGGTATTTTATTGTCAATTGTTTTTCAGTTATTTTTATTTTGGGACTAAACTCTTTTTGGCCCTTGGAAGTGTTATATCCTGATCTATGCAAATTAGAAAACAAGCAACTTCCTTTCAGCTAAATTCAGTATAACAAATTGGCATGGTTTACTGCTATTAATGGTGGTAACTTTGCTTACCATGTCTAAGATCGTTTTATTTGATCCTCGAGTGTTGTACCTTTGCTTTTATCAATTTAATTGTATTTTTGGCTTATAAATAATATATTTTCAATTTTCCTCTCAGGAAGAAGAGACAAAATCTTGGAAGAAATTGATTAATATTGGAGTTTCAGGTGCTGCCGGGATGATATCTAACCATCTATTATTCAAAGTAAGTCCCTTTCTCTCTCTCTTTCTCTCTGTCAATATGTGAGAACACTCCATTTAATGGTCATTTAAGGTTTAGGATGAAAAAGTTCTGTTCCCTAGTACCCTGTCAAATAGGTACAAGTAGAAGCCAATTTAATACACTTGCATAAAATGAATAAAATGCCATGACAAGTTGTACTACTTGATACCAAAAGTTATATCGTTGAAGGCTACGATCCTTTTAATTTCTTCCACAGAGACCATTTCTAGATGAGGAAACTTGGTATTTTGAACATATTGCCACAAGAGAAAGCCTCTTTTTGCAAGTTGATATTTTATCACAGTTGGTTTTTATATTTTTTTTCTTATTCAGATTGCATCGGGTGAGGTTTTTGGCCCAGATCAACCAGTCGCTTTAAAATTATTGGGGTCCGAAAGATCACTGCAAGCGCTTGAAGGTGACTCTTGCACTGATTGTGATCACTTTGAGTTAACCTACTGCATTTTTGTTCCTACAATTCAAAATCTCAAAGAGTCTCTAAGATGAGTAGATAAGAAATTTGCTTCCGAATTATTCTTCAAGCTTCTAGCAATACATATACAAACAGTAGTCAGCAAAGGATCCTTTCAACTATCCAGAAAACTATTTATTTATTTTATTTTAGTGACACGTGCCAGCATTTGATCAAACTGGAAGCAAAATTTATCTGATTCTCTTTTGGAAATCGGAGATAATTACAACTTGTTATAAGTTCTTATCTTATGTAGTCATGACTGAAGATTTGGAAATTGGAGATGATTACAACTTGTTATAAGTTCTTATTTTATGTAGACTTGACTGAAGATTTGTAAATCGGAGATGATTACAACTTGTCATAAGTTCTTATCTTATGTAGTCATGACTGAAAATTTTTTTGTTCTTTCATTTGATTACTGCACTCATGTAGGGGTTGCAATGGAACTTGAGATTCCTTATTCCCTTTGTTGAGGGAGTTCGTATAGATAGATCCGTATGAGATTTTCCAGATGCAGAATGGCTCTCTAANTTAGATGAAAATAGAGCGAAATGCCAGGTAGATATAGCTCCTGAATATCATCTATTTCATTAAATTATCGTCATAACTAATGACAGAGAATATTTTGATGGGAAAGTCACGTGCTTTACACATTTATGTGGTTTTTGCAGCTCGCTCTCAAAGCTGGTGTATTCTATGATCAAGTGTCAAATATGACCATCTGGGGAAACCATTCAACCACTCAGGTCAGTCAAGATATTCTGACTTCTTAAAATCATTTATCGTTAAATTCATTTCATCATTTTCCCCTATGGTTATTTTGGTGAATTTCACTAGGTTCCGGACTTTCTGAATGCTAAAATCAATGGCTTGCCTGTCAAAGAGGTTATCAAGGATCACAAGTGGTTAGAAGAAGAATTCACCGAGAAGGTCCAGAAGGTAGTATTTGTTGAAACATATAGATACAGATGTAGTATAATCGGTAACAAGGGTAATTTATGAGAACCTTCATTGTTCTAAACGTTATTTGTTGAACAAGTATATATTTGATTTGCAGAGAGGTGGCGTGTTAATACAGAAATGGGGAAGATCATCTGCTGCATCCACTGCTGTATCAATTGTTGATGCCATAAAGTCGTTAATAACTCCGACGCCCGAGGGTGACTGGTTTTCTTCTGGAGTAAGTTTACGGTCCCGAACTTTTTCTTCGACAGCTTCTGCATGCCCTAAGTGATCGATATAGTTAATAAAACAGAACCTTTTATCTGTTGTAGTCAAATCGAAACGACACAACCTTCCTATCAAGCAAAATAGTTGAACAGGACAAGCCAAATCCAAACTTCAAATAAATTATTGTAATGGATTTCATCTGTGTTAATTATTGTTACTTATCCCGGCTTTCTGTTGGGTTCATTTTCTTCCTTTTGCCGCAAATATTAACATTACATCTTATGTAATGAAGGTATATACTAATGGAAATCCTTATGGCATAGCAGAGGATATTGTCTTCAGCATGCCATGTAGGTCAAATGTAAGTCTTACATTAGAGATTTTCTTTTCCTTATATTAATCCCGGTGTTGTTTATTAGCTCTGGTGCTGAAAAAATTCATCTTGTTTCCAGGGTGACGGTAATTATGAATTCGTAAAAGATGTAATATTTGATGAATACCTTCGCAAGAAAATTAAAAAGGTATACCTCATTTTCATTCACGTACAAATGTTTCGTACAAATAATACATACATTTTTTAATTTCATTTGGTATCAAAATCAAATTTTCCTCATTGATGTTACAGACAGAAGAAGAACTGTTAGCTGAGAAGAGATGTGTTGCACACCTTACTGGGGAGGTAAACGTCGTTTTATATTACCATTTCTCAAAAATCACTTCAATACGGCAGATGAATGACTTATTTCTTTACACATTTTTTTTTCATTAGGGTATCGCGTATTGTGACCTACCAGAGGATACAATGCTTCCCGGAGAAATGTAACAGTGTAATTGGACTGGGCGCTCTACTCCTAGAACCTGTCCTGCTTTTACCACAATGAGGTGTTGGATTAGTAAGTATAGAATGAAATTATTGTATCAGTTCTTTTTCAGAATGTTTATGCCAGATATAATTTGAGCATATATATATATATATAGGGTTGAAAAATTCAATGCCTGGCAATTTGATATATTTATTTAATCTGAGTTGTGCCCTGCTACTGATGAGGAGATTGTACAGGAAAATGGCAGACCTTATGATGTAGAATAAAGAGAATTTGAGCACGATATATCTGATATTTTGATCATCTTTAATATGCTCTGCTGAATGGTAGATACTTCCTTTTTATAAGATGTCGTGGTTTTGAGTCGAACTGTACTTTTGTATATATTTTTATTTGTAGGTTATTTTTATTGAGTTATGTTTGGTATATGCCTATTGTCTAATTAATAAATGGTTGAGTTTACTTCCAAAAAAATATTAATAGTTCACTTGATAAGTAAGTTATCTAATAATTATGTTAGAGTACTATTATATTTATTAGTATCAAAATACAATCAAAATATAAATTTTAATTTTATTGAAAAGAAGAAAATCCTAACTAATAGGAAAGAACAAAATCAAATTGTGAATAAGTTTACTAGTATGAATGCTGTCAAACAAATTTATATCCAAGTTCCCAATAAAAACTACTGCAATAACTTTTTTTGTAATCAACCTAAGTTCTTAAGTTTATCTCAGTTTATAATTTTGAACTTGACTCGGGATATAAAGTTTTTTACTTTGCGAGTGTATTATAGTGATTGTTGACCTATAATACTTGATTGAATGGAATTGAGAACTTAATTTATTAGTGTGTTTATGAAGTTTATATGACTTAAGTTGGTTAGATCTCAACGAGTTTATTACGTTTTTGAACGAAATGAACATTATATGATAGATAGGTTTTCTTAGTTGCGATAGTGATGATTGGTGAAAGAAATATGATTTACACATAATAGAAGAAAGAAGAGAAAAAACAAGGTAAATTTGCTCTAAATTAAACTTATTGACCATGGCTGAACTGGTACATCATATTATTTCAATGACTAAAAATTTTCAAAAACATTACATTTAAAACGAATCAATAATTTCTCCATCCCATCCATTGAAGAAAACATGACACCCCTTCAAATATTTACTACCATCACCATTTCTTCCCCCCCAAGCATTCCAACAAAACCCTCTGAACCAGGCTTCTTTCCCCCCAAAAGGCACTGAAGTTATCTTCACAAGACCCTGCAACCTCATGTCAAAACCCACCATCCCATGTTCCTTCCACTCCTCCATCAATGTTTCCACCACAGGAGCTGCTGAGCTCTGCAACAAAAATCCTGCCTCCAACTCCACCGGCCCCTGCTTTTCCATATAGAACCGTGACAAGTAGGTCGTGGAAAGGAGAATCCCTCTGTAGGAAAGTGAAGCCTCAATCTCTTCAAAGAAAATGGATGAGAAGTTATGGTGGTTTTTGATCAAGAAACTGGTGTTGATCGTTTCATGATGGGGGTGAGATAGTTCCAGAGAGATGGAGTTCACACCGAGCTCTAATGGCCCGGTTAAGGTTCTTGATGAATCCTCCGAATCCAACCATAAGAAGGCGTAAAAGAGAATTCCAATGTATAACAAACCCAGAAATGATTTTAGTAAATCATCTGAAGTGGTTTCATCAAACAAAGAAGATTCCATTGATTGAGAATTTTCTTTTTCTTTGATCATATCTATCAACGTAGCTACAGTTGCGGAAGAATTAACAGCCGGGAACAGCTCATTCTGATCAACGATGGCGTTAACAGGAGGATCACAACTATGGTGATCGATCTGATCCACAGGTTGATAGCCAGAGCTGGTGTGGTTCTTGGAAATTCTCTGATTATCATGGAGGTTGGCCATTTTTTGGTTTTGGTTCATGGGGAATCTTGTAATTATCAATGAGAAGATTATTGATATGATTTCTACTGGTGTAGCTCCTCTTCTGCATGAAGGATTTATATATAATCTTATGTGATTGATAATTTGTTTCTGCTTTTGGTTATTACCTAATTAACTATATAGTATTGTTTGTTTCCTATATATATATATATATATATATGTAGTTCTTTTTTGGTTGAAACAACTGCGTAAGTTTTTGAAGTGGGTTGAAACTATTTACTCGCTGGTTATCTATATGTATATAGCATGTACGTAGGTATGTACATGTACTGTAATGGGTGTTTTGAATCTTTGTTGATGAGAGAAGTGATCATATAGTTTTGTTAAGCCTTGCAAGTATAGTTGCGAGGAATATGGATTTTTCATGTTAAATAATTTCTTAAGCAGTTAATTTCTTGTTTTGGAACAAAAGGAAGTTTTCATTATGATCTGTGCTTAGCTATAAATATATGTGTATATATATATATATATAAATACACGGGTATATATATATATACACACAAAATAAAACAGATGATGTATTGTACTTACTGAGTATTTGTCTAGCTGGAAACCTTAATTATAGATGGACAAAGGAGTTGGCTGTAAACCATTTGAAATTTTTAACCCACTCTGGTTTTACCGAATCAAGAATTCCAAATGCTTACTCCAGTTTCCTACGAAGCCCAGCTCATCCACCCAACACCTCAGTTCGAACCCCAGGAACCAAACTGAGTTCGGTTTCAAGCCCCAGTTCGAACAAAAAAAGTACTGTCGTGCTAATGTCTTTTAGACGAGTCAAGCTGATGAGCACATTGAACTATCCACATAGTCGGGAGCTCTCGTAGTCTAAGCATTACGATGCAATACTCGAAAGTGTGCTTTACCGCTGACCTAATAGCTCGTCGTGCTCGTCCCTTGCTCGGGAGCCCAATATGCCAAGCAAAAAAACGAGAGCCATGGCTCTCTTCTTTTTTACGCCTCTGTGTGCTCCCGCACGGCGACATGAGGAGTAAAAAAGCGATCCTATCAAAATATTCAACAAGTATTAGCTCTCCCTACAAAGAAGTGAATAAAACATAAAAAAATCATGAATGGAAGCAAAGTTTTTAATTTTTAATATTGAATAAAATAATTAAATAAACATAAATAATAAAAACATTTATATATAAAATTATAGTATTACCCAAATTATTCATTATATTTAATTAATCATTTTTTAATATGATTAATTGAATTTTATGTTAATATTATTTTCTGTAACAAAATTTTCACTCTGTCAATTCTTGTATTTTTTATCAACTTCAAATCAATTGGTATTAAAATAAAAATTTAACATAATGAAAATTGTATGTATATATATATATTATAATATATGAAATATTTCGTTAGAAACATATAGAAATATATAATTCAATTCGAAGTTAGGCTTAAGCCCACGAGTTAATCTTGGAAGTCATGGTAGGTAGTAAGAAAATTCCTACTAAGTGGTCTTCACATAATTAATCATCTTCACTTATCTCCCATGTAAGAGGATTAGAGTTTAAATATTCTAAACCCTCCACTTAAACTCTATCCTAATTGATTACCATTTTGATAAGATTGACTATACTTACAAGATCGTATATATATATATATATAATATTAATTATAAGCATTGATTGTTTGGAAGTCGGGTAAGTTTACAACATGCAAATAATTAGTGAAAAGTTGACTACAAGGTAGAAAGTAGAGAGATATATGAAACTATATAGAGCTATTGTTGGTCAAAGGCTATTATGGCTACTTATACCAATATGCAATGATTGCGGGCAAGCATGCTTATAAGAGTATGTATTACATATATATATATATGTATGTATGTATGTATGTGGGTATATGTGGACACACCCAGGAAGAAAAGAAGAGAGAATATACTTACAGTTGTCAGTCAAAGAGTAAATTGGAAGGAAAGAGAAATACCCACCAAGTCCCATGAAAGATTTCGACAGGTGAATTATGAGTTAGTGGGTGCATGTGTTGTCTGTCACCTTCTTCTTTTTGTTTTTTTTAGGGTTTACAGGGAAATATGAACGAAGATTATAGAAGATCCCATTCAGATTGTTACGTAAAGCCATTGGAGCTTTTCTTCCTTACTTTAAAAAGAGAAATTTACACAAGAGAATGTTTATATCTATATCTATCTATCTATATATATATATATATATATATATTAATAATCTCTTGTGTGGATGGGTAGTGTTTACACCTCTTCTTATAAAGGTTTAAATTTGAGCCAGAAATGTGTATGTATCATGTGTATCATTTTTAAAGTTAATAAATTAGTTTTTAAATTTTGATATTTATTGTAATTTAATATACAATATTATAAGTTGGCTTGTGTCATTTTTTATTTATTTTAAATATATAATTTTATTTTATTTTATAATAAAAAAATAAAATTATTAGATTATATTTAAATATTAAAAAAAACAGTTGAAAACAATGATTTTGGTTAATTAATTAAGATATTTAAATATAATCTAATTACTTTAATTTTTTAAAAAAATAGAACAAAAACTCTATGTTTGAAATAAATAAAAAGATGTTATAGATTAAATTATAAAAAATAAATTAGAAATTAAATTGTAAGTAATCTTAAAGTTTAAAGACTTATTTAGTAATTATTAATTTTAAATAAAAATATAATATATATGTATATATATAGAGTTTAATTACCAAAAGTCCAAAGCTATTTTCATTTTATGAATCAAACCATGTTTAGATACAATTAATATATAATTATTCATTTCATATTCTTTCGGGTATAAATCACTATATTTGTTGTAAATAGATGTCACAATTGTATTGGTACTATAATTCTCGTATAATCAATTATCCCATTCAAGAAACATACATACATACATACATATATATATATATGGTTGAATTAGTGTGTTAATGGTAGACTTAATTATTAATTAACGTCAACCATTTATTTTCTTGCTTTCTACTCATTTATCAAAAATTTAAAAATAAATCACATCCTCTAATATTATTAATTCATATTATTCGAGTTACTTATTGAAAATATGAATAAAAATCATATATATTTATATATATGTATGTTTTTTTATTTGTTTTAAACCGTAATTTTCCTTTTATATATATATATAGAGAGAGAGAGAGAGATTTAAAATAAAGAATTAAAAATTAAATTATGACGTAAAAATTATTAAAAGCTAATTCATTGATTTCCATTGAAAATTAAAATGAGAAAACTCAAAATTCTATAATTCCAAGTCTTTATTCATCTTTATTAATTTATCGTCAATTATCTGCATGGAGACAAGTAGAAGACAGTCGTCCACCATTACCCCCACTTCCACCACCGCCACCCCCATCCACCACCTACACCCACTACTTACACAAACCTTCCTACTTGTCACCATCTCCTCCTTCCTCCTCTGAACCTACTAGAATCCCTTCTTCACTTTACACTCCCTATATATACCCACCCTCACCTTCATCATCTTCACTCACCATCTGCATTTCATCATTTACGAACGCTCAAAGCTTTCACTTCAAAACACAAACTATATATACCCATCTTCCCGTTTTTGAGACCTAGCTCGAAAATGGCCGTGATCAATTCAAGGGTCATAGGAGCTGCATTCCTTGTTTTGCTCCTCGTGGATTTCTCCCTTGCCGCGAGGGCTCCATGGCTTTTTGGTAGAGGAGGAGGTGGTGGTAGTGGAGGAGGTGGTGGTGGGGGTAGTGGTGGCGGCGGTGGTCTTGGGTCTGGTTCCGGTTATGGTTCTGGATATGGCTCTGGGGGCGGGTCAGGGTATGGTAATGGCTTGGGAGAAGGAAGAGGTGGTGGCGGCGGCGGAGGTGGAGGAGAAGGAGGCGGGGGAGGGGGCGGGTCTGGATTAGGTAGTGGGTATGGTTCGGGTTATGGGTCGGGCAGTGGCTCTGGGTATGGGTCTGGTGTTGGGTTAGGAAGGGGTGGAGGTGGTGGGGGCGGCAGAGGAGGCGGTGGAGGTGGAGGATCAGGAGGTGGAAACGGGTCAGGTTATGGATCCGGGTATGGAAGTGGAGGTGGGTCTGGATACGGAGGTGGTTTGGGCGGCGGGAGAGGAGGAGGTGGTGGTGGAGGAAGCGGTGGTGGCGGTGGAGGAGGTAGCGGCATGGGTAACGGGTCTGGATATGGTAGTGGGTCGGGTTACGGAGAAGGTTATGGATCCGGGTCCGGGTATGGAGGAGGAGATTATGGATTGCCATGAACGTGGAAACTGGTTCGAGCAATAATAATATTAAGAAGGAAAGCTGCAGTAAACATTTTGTAATATTAGTGGGAATAAAAATTGCATGTCTTTCAATAAATTATATTAATTACAAATAAAATTACAAAATGCCTGTTTTTTTTTTGCTTGAAATTTCTAAAAATCTATTATCTCATGTTTGGATGAAGAGAAAATTGAAGGGAAAGTAGAAAGAAAATAATTTTCTTTTGGTACCCAATTAATTTCTTGAAATGCCAAATTCATGTAATCTCTTTAGCCATTGAAATAAGAACCATATGTTGGAATTGGAATATAATAAATTCATGCTACCAAAATTAATAAAAAAAGAAATACACTATTTTGACATATGGGTATGTGGGTGTGTATATATAAACATAAAATATGATATATATATATATATATATATATAAAACCAAAAAAGAGAATAATTTGTCATCTTGTGTATGTCATGTGTCAATGATTGACTTATAGTGGAATTTAATTTATTATTACTTTATATAATCACTTCAATTAAAAATAAAAAAAGACAACTCTTCAAATGCATCAAATACACCTAATATATACATATAGTTTTTTAACATACCTAATTCATACAGTTAATAATAATTAAAAGTTAAATATACGTAATAATAATGATAATCAATAATGAAATTAAAGATAAATTACTAAATTAATTCTTAAAATTAAGTATTTTTTAAATTTAATATCTAACTTTTTTTTTTTTGGGTTGCAATTTATATTTTCATAAGTTTTGTATACGTTTCAAATTTCTTTTTACAATTTAATGTATATGTTTTAAAAGTCTACTTTTAATTTTAAAATAATTAAAAATAAAAAATTGCGAAATAATTTATCCAACCCATTGAAATCCATTTTAAACACAAAACTCAAGCCCAAAGTGAGATCAGATCAAGCCCACAAATCTGACGCGAAGCCTTCCAAACGACGTCGTTTCAGACAATATTAGTTTCCGTTCTTCATTCTATATGCGAGAAAGGTGATTGAAGATAAGAAGGTTTTGTTTTAGGAGGTCGGGAGTATGGAACCCTCTTATATATCTATTTGGTAATCTCAAGCTTTTAAAAACTCTTCTAACTTTTGCCTTGAACTTTTACTGACAAGTTAACTCTGTGTGTGTGTATGTATATGTATTTAATTATCAAAGTGTGGTTTTGGAATTTACTGAGTAAAAAAATTATGGGGGATGAGCCAATGAGGAGTAAAAATAGTTTGGGAGACGACATGTGGTTAGACTCAACACCACAAATGGTGAGCGACAGATCGTAGGAAATTAAAGTTGACGCACTTCAAAATATGAACACAATCAAACTCAGCCTACGCGCATCTACTGTCCCATCTCTATCCACCCACAAGTTTTACGTGTAATATACATATATATATATATATATATACATACATACATATGTGTATGAAGTACACGTGTGTATAATATATATATATATATATATATATAGAGTAAGTTGTAAGCAAGTTCACATATTGTAAATAAGACACTTGAAATCGAAAGTAGATAGACCACATACAATTTAAGGGTAGAGTACCTTTAAATAATTAATAGAAAGATTCGATTTTTAAATCCGTAATTATAACATTTATAAATCTTGAATTACATAAGTATATATAAACACTTAAGAAAATTCTTAAACTTATAAATTTCGT